TTGTCTTTGTTGCGGGTGCGGACACTCATGTCCTCCAGGGGTGAGTTCACGACCGCATAATAGTGACCATTACTGATGTCGGTGCCCATTGTGTGCACAACAAACCCATACAATGAGTATTTAATGCAATCACTCTCTAAAGTATAGTCCAAATTAAGGGGAACTTTGAATAACTTCTTCCACGGCTTTGAACTTCTGGTCACTTTAGGATTAAAACCGAACGGCTTTTTCATACATATAATCAACACTTTTGGCGGAACTTTGATTGTGTTGACCACCGAAGCGTCCGTTTTCTTCGAGCACTTCCTGCAGTCAAACATATTGTCGTCTTTCAGGTAATCCTTTCTATGGATGATATCAGTGAACGACTGTTTGTTGTGTCCAATGTCTGAAGGCTTGCGTTCATTGCCATTGTCCTCATTATCACAGAGAGGTATCTGAATGTCTGCGAACGAGTCGTCAGTGAAGCTACTGGTCTGACACTCACTGCACACTATATTCCTCAGCATAACTCCATTGAAACTCTGGAAAGTGATGGTATGCTCAACTGAAGCCGATGGAGAAGCCGATAACATTGGTAAGAACCGCAAACACAAGGTTGCTGAGTAGAGAGCCGAGTGTAGTCAGCCTTTGTCCTCAACACATATTCACAACTCAAGTAATTACTCGGTCGAAAGAAATTCGTGGCAATCATTTTGCTGTGAAAGCTGTGTCTCAAACCGATTCCTATTTCAAATGAAATTTAAATACATTTTAGACTTGTGTTCAAAACAATCATCTGTTTCTCGCAATACTTTAATTCCTCGGATTCGATGAATGCTGTGATCGTCGACTCATTAGTCAAAGAATTGGTCACATGTTTGGATTTGGACTCATTTTGACCAAAATTATGGAAAATCTAAAAAACGATCAAATTATCAACAAAAGGGATTAAAGAGAAGTGAATGTGTGGTCACTTACATCATGCAAATAAGTGATGAGTTGTTTGTTGGAAGCGTTTAGTTGTTTGCTTTTGTAGTCTTCTTTAATGGTTTTATTGAGAAAACAAACAAATTTTCTGAATCCGGGGGTTATCCGCAACACTGCATCAAAGGTGTCATTAAATCAAGTGATATAACCAATTGAAATCTTTTTCATACGTTTGGGACTTATTACCGCAAATATATCGTCCACAAGGGGTATAATCCGTTTGGCTAGTGAGCGCTGTCGAGACTTAACCACAGTGAGAACAAGAGGAATAAGAACCAGAGCCTGTCACCGGAACTCGTATTACTCGCACGACTCCATCCGTTACTCGTCTCACATTTGGCTCTATTAGTGTCCGATCCTCTGCTTGACCTTCGCTTCAATGGTCTGCCAACGGGTCTCTTGTGGACGCCATCAGCGCGACTATTGACTACATTCAAGACATTGCCGTTCATGTGNTTCTTAGGCAATACAGATGTCGATCAACCAAAGGGTATAGAAGTGGTTAAGGAAGGCATTAGGAAATTGAAGTTTAATCAACACATCAAAAGGGCTGAAGGTATCAAATGCTTGTTTAATTGTTTTATTATACTTACAATTCCCACTACTGTATACCGTAATACTGTACCTGCATTTCTGTTGTACTATTCCACACATTACAGTATTGTCTAATTTTTAATATAATCGTCAATTCTACTAGATACTTCCTACAGTAGTCTTATTAGTCTTATTTTAAATAAGTTTGAAAAATTTGCTTTATTTGAGCGTTTAGTGATTAAAAATAATGATACTGTTATTTTTATTTTAAAATTGCTGTACACAATATAGTAAAAATTTAATTGTAGCACATTTTTTACAATAATACCTGTATATTATAAGAATTAGTCAAATATAGTGTTTGATAGATTTTTGATTAAAATTTATTTCTACGGTAATGTAACAAATGATAGATACAGTAATTCATGAATCATGACCAATGACTATAGCGTACAACGCTATACGATATGCATTAAAATGATTTCTAAGCAAATGAATAAATTATAAATGATTATCAAATCCAATCCTAGCTTTGGGGGCTTTCACCTCGACTGCTATAGCTAGCTACCTCACCGGTAAGTTCTCGGGTTTAGCTTCGCTTAGACGGTAGTCAAGGGTAACGTAGCCTAGAGAATGACGCGGCTGCTATAGTCTGAGAAGAAATTCTTCAGTTTTATTGCCAAAGAGTCTGAGTCTGAGAAACACATTTGTTTTGTGTTCGTAAGCGATAAGTTGGCCGAAGAGATAACACTGACTATCGGACAGGCGTTTGATTTGGCTTATCGTAAATTCTTAGAGACTTCGGGACGCGATCTCGAAATGAAGAGACAGTTAATGATTTTACAGAAGAGAGTCCGAGAACTGGAGCAACAAAACTATGAACTCAGAGAAAGACTTAATATTTACGAACAAAATGGCGTTAATTCTAATCACAATTTATCACTAAATAACACTAACTTAGAGACTAAGCACATGAATGGCAACGACAAACATAAAACCGAGACTATGATCATATCACAGCCATTACCACCACTACAACCCCCTCCCAGTGCCCTTCCGCGTGCACTTAACCGCAGTTTCTCTGAGAACCAATCCGTCAATTTGTTGGACTTAGACATCAGCCAAACGAAGCCAACAGTCGGCAGAAAACTCGAAAACTTAAGCCTTAAAGAGTTGGACGAAGACTTCAATCCTCGCGCCGAAGATACCAACGGTTGCAACGGTTCTGCAGTGGAGACACAAAACGGACATTCAATGAACGGTTTGTCAAAGGATTTGTTTGGAAGCGAGCCGTTCACTGTTGAGAAGGGAGACCCCTTCGGAATGGGAGAGTTCGGGGCACAAGAACTCGAGACAGCCATCGGTGCTATCGATAGAAGATTGGCTGAAATGAGGGTAAGTCTGACGATATGACTGAAAGCCTGTGAAACTGGTTCTAAACGTATGTTTGTTGGCTTTTAGGACGGCTTTAGTCGCGGTCTCTCAAAGCCATTGCTGCTCAAGTGTTAGCTTTCATACCTAGGAAACTTAGTTTTCTGTACTTTACGTAAGCTATAAGCAAAGTAACCAACGTAAACAAACTCATGAAAGAAACATATATTTTGTAATGATTTAAGAAATATATTTATGTTTTAATTTAGTTTTTTAAATAATGTTAAGACTGTTTTTGTATTATAAGTTATATTAAATTTAAAATAAATTGTATTTTCAAATCTTTAATCTCTTGTCATTTGGTTTTTTGAAAACATCTTAAGAAACAATGAAAATGTCGATGACTTATGAAAAACAGAAACAAATGTTAAAATGAAATGAAATATAAATAATATACAAATCTATTTGATAGAGATATTAAGAAACGAGTGTAAAGGATATGATATAAAACATAACGTAAGACATCAGTCAAGGCGTCGATAAAATGCTAAATAAGGCGTCGAAGCGATACTTTCGTCGTTGAGGAGGGCGTGAAGTCTTTGGTCACTGAATTTGATGACATTATTGTCATTCACTTTAATCCATCCCTTGCTGGAGAGGACAGGTTTGGCGCACATGCAGTCATTGTCTTTGTTGCGGGTGCGGACACTCATGTCCTCCAGGGGTGAGTTCACGACCGCATAATAGTGACCATTACTGATGTCGGTGCCCATTGTGTGCACAACAAACCCATACAATGAGTATTTAATGCACTTGTATTTGGGATGAAATATTAATTCAAATATGACTTCGGGTTTCATACAAATCAATCAGATCTTAAGAATTTGGGCCAAACCTAGGCATCCATTACCAGACAATTATGCCTATAATTAGATGATAAGAAACCACAGATCAAGACATCAAATAAGTGCATATCTGAAGAGGTTTTCCAATAGAAAATATTTATGACCAAAACTATTACTGATTATCATTTCTCAAGTATTTTCGCTCATTTTCAACAAAATGTTGAAATTATATGCAATTCATACGACAGTGTTATCGAGAATTTCAATACAGATATCGTAATAATTATTATAAAAAGTAAGTCATTTTCTCATAAACGAAAAGTAATGACAAATATTGTGGTAAATAAGCATTAATTCAAGTGTTGTTCAAAATGACAAAACATCGCCCGTTTGTAAAGTATGCAAAATATTGTCTCATTTACTCAAGTAGTCCTTAACGTGAAGATTATTGAATTAGTTTTGATATAAGCACTGAAAACATGCAAACCTATGACAAGTAAGGGCTCAATGCCCTCAAAAGAGTCACATATAAACACAAGTGATATCATAAATAACACATTCAACACATATTCAACATTTTGAGGTCACTTTAAATCATATCAAACAAAACGATTCATTTTTTACATGACAATCGCCGCATAACTAATTGATAACAAAATGCAATTCAATAGACTTTTGGGTTACCATACAATCCAACGGAGACTAAGATTAGCGCAAAATATAATCTAAAACTTTCTTCTCGTGTAAAACAAAAACAAATGAAACGTTTGGATCGGATTACAGGTAAGAAAACACATGAAATGATAGGAAATGATAATATGATACCAAAGAGTGCAGCAAATAATGCAAACAATGACACAAAATGAGTGTTCATACGATAACTACAGTAAGTATTGGCATAATGTGCAGAAAAAAGCATAAAAAATAAAATAAAAACTTATATAAACTTAAGCCTAAATATCGTACCGCTTTGACAAAGAGGTGGTGATAGTTATGGTGAGGATGACTGTGATTGTCATCGATTGGATTGAATGGCAAAAACAAAGTGTTTGAGTCATCGGTGGCCAAGTCTAACGAAAACGATCGCCTCATCCGATGAACGGTTCTCATCATTATTAGACACTAAGACTGTCTCTCATATGAGCTATTGGTATGACAAGTGATGCAAACACTGGACACACATTCACTGCATTCACACCAAACACTGCATACATTCAATGCATTGAAAGCATTATCAAAATGATTATCAAATGTCTATAAATCAAACACAAATCCAATCAATGAGTCAATCACTGAGTCTATGCTTACCTAACAGTGGGATGGGATGGCTATGTCAACAATGGTGTGACACTGGGGTCAACACACGTACATAGACGCCAACTATGACCACAAGACTTGCCAATTGGTGTGAATTGGTGTGAATTGGTGTCCAATTGGTGTGAATTGGTGTCCAAATGGCAATCAATGTCTGTTTCACACAAACATCCAATAATTGACTCAAACTTTGCGATCAATCACAATATGGTTCACAACATTGCACTCATTGCCAGCACTGCCGGTAGAGGTGCTGACAGTCAGTCATATGTTTGTCTGTGTGTTCAGTGCATAAGCAGTGCATTGAGTGGACCCACGAGTCAAACAACCCATTCATTGACAACAACACCATTGGATTCAGTGATAATTGACGACCAATTGTGGTGATAATGAGCCAACACTGACACACATACCACGGGTGTTGTCATACTTGCATACATTGGGTGCAACTCTTGTCGCACTGTGTGTCCCCTCATTGTCCGCGTATTGGCGCCAACTTTGACACAATTGTCTGCTTTTGATTGAATGCTTAATTGCAGTGATCTTTGATACACGTGTCATGACATAGCACTCCACATATACCACTGATGACTGATTGCCATCACTAGTGTTGTCACCAAAATGAGCCACCAGTGGATCATTGAGAAAGACAATTGTCGTGTTTGTGTCGATAAATCAGTGGTCAGTGAATCACAGTTGAGACAAATCACAGCTCAAGAATCGGAGATATCATTGACAAGAGTGTCGAACCCGTCGGTTGACAGTGGAGTTAAAGCCGAGAGACGATCGCTTCGGTCAACAAAAGGTGGAGAGCATGACATGAACGCCACCGATGATTGCCACCAACTGGTCCTCAACCACATGAACGGCAATGTCTTGAATGTAGTCAATAGTCGCGCTGATGGCGTCCACAAGAGACCCGTTGGCAGACCATTGAAGCGAAGGTCAAGCAGAGGATCGGACACTAATAGAGCCAAATGTGAGACGAGTAACGGATGGAGTCGTGCGAGTAATA